AACTGAATTGGAGTTTTTTGGTTTATTATTTATTTAAGCCAAATGTGATATAATAAATTCAGTTATCCACCTCCCCCACCCCTAAAAGAGTCCTTGACTTGTCCTGTTTCTATGAAGTATCTGCAGAGTTCTACCTAGTCTGACTATTTAGTGCCTCAATGCTTTTAGCTTTCCTTCTGTTTGTTGTGTTCTGTACCTCCTGCTGCTGGTCTCTAGTATCACCATCATAATAACAAATTGTTTCTTATTTGAGGCCCAATGGCATATGCTACATTTTCTAAGACATACGATACTATGATAATTATAAGAAAATAATACCACGATAAAAGGACATCTGGCATCAAAGCTGTTTAAGAGCACCCCACTGCAGCCCAGTACAGGCAGAGTATTTAGCAGGAGTGTGCTAAGTGCTCACACAGCAAGGCAGTTGCTGCCTCTTGGGCAGGGACTCCACCTTCCTGGAAGCATGCATCTCGCTCTGTGAGAACCTATGAGAACCTCGATTTCTAGAGTCGGGAGAGAGGTCTAAGGACCGCCACTTCAATTCCTGTATGCTGATTTTCAATCTCTCTTCCTCCTCCTTTCTACAGCCCTCTACTTCTGACAATTTGGGGCAGTCTAAGCTATAACATGGGTAACTTATGTCAACAAAAATATGACCAAAATAAAAATGTTCAGATTTTATAACTATACCTTTTCCAATTCCTTTTATCTTTTTAGTTTCCTTTACTATATTTATTATTTTGTCTTGGGGACTTAAATGAAAGATAGGGTCATGTGAATGTTTCAGTAAATATTATTACTATAAACATTTATTCTTGAAATGTTTTTAGGGTAATTGTTTAAGGGTTCTGGACTCACAGTTCCAACATGGTTTGGTTTTTTTGTTTGTTTTTTCCTACACGACCAAGCAGTTCTCTGATACCAGCTGGGTGTCCTATAATTCAAATCAATTTTAACACCATCTATCCAGAGGTAGAGAGCATCAGATTCCACAGGTTAAGGATTCAGCCCCACAAGGCTGTCCTTCACTTCAGATGCCATTCTCAAATCCTGGTTGTCACCTGTACTTCTGATCCACTGGATATAAATCAGAGGTTCCCACGACCACCATTTTGGTTTTGATTAATTTGCTAGTGATTCATAGGACTCGGAAAACCAATTTTCTCACTAGATTACTGGTTTATTACAAAGGATATAACTCAGAAATACCAGATGGAAGAGATACATAGGGCAAGGTGTGGGGAAAGGGTGCAGAGCTTCCATATCCTCTTTGAGGGAACCACTCCATCAGCACCGCCATGTGTTTACCAACCCAGAAATCTCAGATGCTGTCATTTTGGGGTTTTATGGAGGCTTCATTACAAAGGCATCGTTGATTAAATTATTGACCATTGGTGAGTGATTCTACCTGTAGCTCCTCCCCCCTCCCCTGGAGGCCACAGGGATGGGACTGAAAGTTCCAACCCTCTAATCACATGGTTGCTTCTTTTGGTAATTAGCCCTCATCCTTTGATGCTTTCCAAAAGTCACCTCATTAACATAAACCCAGCTGTGGTAAAAAAGGGCTTGTTATGAATAACAAGACACCTATTTCACTTTTATGGCTTTGAAGTGATTTCAGGAACTGAGGACAAGAGACCAAATATTAGAACAAAAGATGTTCCCTTTGCTCATATCTTTCAGGAATTTCCTAGGGTTTTAGGAGCTGTAAGCCAGGAACCATGGACAAAGACCAAATATAGATGTATTATAGTTCTTATAGATCATATTGGGTTGTCAGAAAAGTCATGATGCATGTTTGCAGCAGATGGCGCTAGTTGATTTTTGGAAGTACTAGAGTCATTCGCATCTATGTTATTGCTATGTCATTTGACAGCTGACACTTCTAGCTTCATTCTAAAAAAAAAATGAGCAATTTGGTTGAGTTCTGAAGATTTTACAACAAGTTGAAGATGGAAGACCAAACTGCATTTTTGCCATATTTTACTGTTTTACTTCCATGAAGGGAAGAATGCGCGTCAAGCTTGTGAGAAGTTGCATAAAGTTTACAGTGACAACGCTTTACAAGAATGTCAGTACCAATGATGGTTCACGAAATTCTGTGCTGGTGATTTTGATCTCAACGATGCTCCTTGGTCAGGGAGGCCCACCAAGGTTGATGACAACAAAATAAAGGCATTGATCGAGTCAAACCCATGTTACATGACACGGGAGATTGCAGGAACATTGAGCATCCATCATTCAAGTGTTCAAGACCACCTGAAGAAGCTGGGATACGTAAGCAAGCTCGATATTTGGGTTCCGCATGAACTCGAAGTTCATTTGACGCCATGTATGAACATCTGCAATATGCTCATTAAACGTGAGGAAAACGATCCTTCTTTGAAGCGACTGATAACTGGTGATGAGAAATGGATTGTTTACAACAATGTGGTGCGCAAACTGTCTTGGTCCCGACGTGATGATTCACCTCAAACGATATCAAAAGCAGACATTCATCAGAGGAAGATTATGCTCGCAGTGTGGTGGGATTTTAAAGGTGTGTTTTTCGAGCTCCTACCAAGGAACCAAACAATCAATTCAAATGTGTACTGTCGGCAGTTGGACAGTTGGAACGAATCTATCATCCAGAAACGTCTGGAGCTTGTCAATTGTAAAGGAGTTGTGTTCCATCGCGACAACGTGAGACCACACACAAGTTTGATCACCCATCAAAAATTATTGGAGCTTGGATGCAATGTGTTGCCACACCCACCATACTCGCCTGAACTTGTGCCGTCAAACTTCCACTTGTTTCGCTCTTTTCAAAACTCCTTGTGTGGTATAACGTTCAATTCAGATGAGGCTGTAAATCAGCACCTTGTTCAGTTTTTCGCAAATAAAGACAGGTCCTTCTATGAACGAGGAATTAT